TTTAGGATAAACAGAAAAGACTGTCCTCAACTTGTCATATACAATATTTGTATGAAAAGGTGCTACTTTCTAATTGGTCAAAAACTGTTGGGGAGAAGCCGTGGCTTAGACTTAACTCTCCCGTCATTGGTCCTTCAGTCCGTCCATCCTCCATGATCCTTTCTGCTCCAATCGTCGAGGACAGCGCCCTAGGAAGAGGAAGAATACCTATACTGCCTTAATTCCTACATACACACTCACTTCTCCTTTGTTTTCAACTACCTGATCCATATTAGGTATTGCTTTCCATTTCACTAATTAAAACTGTTCTGCCTGTGTGTGTGTGGGTGCCTAATGTTCCTACCTTTGAAGCTTTCTCCTCCGCAAGCCTCCAGGTCTAATCTCTGTTTCACTAACCTTGGAGTCCCAGTGAACTGTAACTCCCCTGGCTTCAAAGCTCAGTTGTGATAATAATTTCTCCATTAGCTAGAGCTGTAAATCTAATGAGATTCAGTAATTTAGTAGACAAAACACTATAATGTTGAACAGTGCCTCAGTGACTAACACAGTAAATATTAACCAGTGGTCCAGTGAACACATAGGGTGATATGTAACAATGTAAGCATAACCTTGACATATAAGTATGTAAACTTATGTGTGCTATAAAATAAAACCATTCATAAGTGCGTAAAATAAAAATCACCCTAACATCTTCCACCCTTTTTTTGGCACTTAATAAGTCCAGCATACTTACAGCTATACAGGCCATTGAGGTCTCAATCTGTTCAACTCTTCAATGACATCCCAGCTTGTACTCAACTTTTTTATAACATTTATACTTTTTAATCTATTCAGCTTTATTTTTTGCAATACAAGTCAATGGGAGCTCAAAGTGCTGAGTCAATGACACAGTCTTGGAGTGCCATCTGGTGGTTCATAAAATGCAGTGCAATTGGGACATGGCCCAACATAACTCCTCTCTCTGTCTCTCTCCCCCTCTCTCCCCATTCCCTTCTCCCTCTCTGTCTCTCTCCCCCTCCCCCTCTCCCTCTCTATCGACCTGAAAATGGCTGTCCACCAACGTTTACCATCCAACCTGACAGAACTGGAGAGGATCTGCAAGGA